GCTGCTTACAACCGCTGAAGCCTCCTTTCTACATCCCTTGCACATACTCTTCCCGTCCCCGTTTCACCTAATCCACTAATTCCTCCAATGGCCTGACATCGTAATCCTGTGCCTCCGCGTAAAGCGCGCAACATCGGGTGTTGTAATGTGCGCACGCTACTTAACCAGAACTCGAGTGAGCGTCCTGAGCGACGCATTGCACTGGTCGCGATGAAACTCGTGCGCTATGGGATCGACATTGCTGCACTCAGCGATACCCGAATCGCTCACCAAGGCAATCTGTATTAGGCTGGTGCGGGTTACACGTCCTACTGGGTGGTGAATGCTACCTCCGCACCATGTGAACATGGAGTCGGATTTGCACCGTCCGATCGCCTAAATAGCCAGATGGTGGCAGAGCCGACACATCAGTCCACGACTGATGACTTTTCGCCTAGGACTTGGAAGAAGTAAATTTGCTTCCACGATATGCTCGGGCAAACTGTTTCAAGCATTGATCACCCGCTGTCCAAAGCATAGGAATGGCGAACTCGCTTCAGATCCGGGACCACAAGCTTGTACTGGTATCTGCGTGTGACACAATGTATTCGCAAATGGAGCAGTGGCCTCAGCATGGGGACTTCACCTACATGTAGAATGCGGTAGGTCATGATGAGGTCGACTCGCATCCAGCGATGGGCCAGGGTGTACAGTCCTAGCCTCTCGATCTTGTCTTCGTACGGTAAGTCCCGTACACTGCGGATCAGTCTAGTAGCGTCGTGTTGGACTTGTTCGACTTTCTACACCTCCCCTCGTGTGATCGGGCAACAGACAAGCGAGCTTTACTCTTGCATTGGCCTGGTGATTGTGGAGAATAGGCGAGTGGGAACCTCTTCAGGCCGCATGCAGAGACTGCGTTTGAGTGCCCATAATATATATATATATATATATATGCTATGGGCGCCGAGACTGGTGGTGGCTAGATCACGACAAACGTTCTACCAACTGCTGCATCTCCTGGACGCCTCTTGGCGACCGCTGGGTGGGAGTTGGCTTACGTCCTTCTCCCTGCTAAAATCTAGGACATCAATCCGCATGAGTCAGTGAACTGACCATGTGTTAGTCCCGCTGCCTTTCGGGTGTACATTTAATCCAAGACTTTGGCTGAGGACCCGAATCGTTCTCTTGTCAGGTGTGGGCGCCCTGCCACTATCCTAGTCCATGCTCTTCGGAGGTTAAGAAGTGGTCGATGACCCTCTTCCCGTATAATCTAGACATGGGAGACAACAGGTCTACGGGTTATAAGCTCACAGCTCGATTGGCATAGAGCACGAGCACCACGCATTGTCTCTGACGGTAGCGGGGCACCTCCGGGTGCTCAATGGCTTTCTACTGCCCGCCACAAACCAGGCTGCCCCTGGTCAAATTGGTGCATACCCGCCAAAACCCACCTGCGTCTGGCCGTGGTAGCAGGTGCGTATCCTACTACAGTCGCAAAACATATATGAATTGATTCTGGATGTTTGTAAGTAGTGTAAAGTTTGTAGAAAGTATGAATTGTTCCAGATCTCCAAAGACTGCGTGTGCCGCACCTCAAACGGATCCCAGTCTGTCTCTGGAATCACATTTCCAAGCTTGATCTGCTCCCCACTGCCTTTTGTGTCAGACTATTGAGTCAAAGGTTCCGGCCGGAGTCCCTCAAGCAAATCTCCAAACTATCCACTACTTTTAAGGTCAGGCTACTGTGCCAAAGGCTCGGGCGGAATCCCTCAAGCAATCCACGGAAGCACGACCGCAACCACCATACGTGTGTTTGCCCACCAATGCAATGGTATGCCCGCGCGCAAAGCACTCAGCATCGGGTGCTGGAACGTGCGCACATTACTGGACCGGAATTCGAGTGAGCTCCTCGAGCGACGCATTACACTGGTCGCGATGGAACTGGCGCGCTACAACATCGATCTTGCGGCTCTCAGCGAGACCCAGCTGGCTGAATAAGGAAAGCTGCAGGTTATACTAGGTGGGCAACGCCACCTCAGCACCACGTGAACATGGGGTCGGATTTGCAATGTCCGATCGTCTCAATGGTCAGCTGGTGGATGAGCCGACTGGCATCAGTGAGCGACTGGTGACTGTACGCCTACGACTCAGAAGAGGTAAGTTTGCCACTTTTATAACCACGTACGGTCCGTCACGTGTTATCCTGAAGACACGCGTGATCAATTCTACACTCAGCTATCCTCCGTGATACGGTCTGTGCCGATGAGCGCCCGACTATTTTTGCTGGGTGATTTCAAGGCGCGCGTTGGGCGTGATGCATCGGTGTGGATAGATGTTATCGGTTCGCATTGCATTGGTTCAGCGAATGCGAACGGTGACCGTCTGCTCTCACTGTTTGCCACTGATGACCTGACGATCACGTACACTCGGTTTGCACTGAGTGCGAGTGATATAGCAACTTGGACGCACTCACAGAGTGGTCACGCTCACCTGCTCGACTATGTCATCGTACGTCAGCGTGATATGCGTGAAGTGCGCATGACACGTGTGCTGCGTGGATCTGATTTTATCACTGATCACAAGTTGGTGCGGACCAAACTGTACATATATTTCCGGAAATCTCTGTATTACACTCCCGCCGGGAATCGGCCTAAATTAAACATTCTCTCCCTCGGTACTGTGGTGAAACGTACTGAGCTGGAGAAGGCAATGGCTGCCCGCCTGTGTGATGTGGACTGCATAGCTACAGTGGGCGACCTGTGGCACCACATTCGCGACCAGGTGACAGCTGCTGCCGAGGAGACCATCGGGCGCGGAAACTGTGTGCGGCCTGATTGGCTTGATGAGAACAATGCAACGATTGGCGCATTGGCGTCGAGGAAGGATGCAGAATTTGCTGCACGTGTCGCAGACCGCAGTGACTTGCGGAAGAAGAGTCAGTTTCGCAACCT